AGAGAGAGAGAGAGAGAGAGAGAGAGAGAGAGAGAGACAGAGAGAGAGAGAGAGAGAGACAGTCAGAGAGAGAGAGGGAGAGACAGAGGGAGAGACAGACAGACAGACAGACAGACAGACAGACAGAGGTCCCAGACTAACACTGTGTGCATTTGTTATCTTTGTTTTGGAGTTCGTATGGGTTATGGCATCCCTGCACCTGATTTGCTACGTAGATTCTAGGGAGAGAAGAGACTAACAATTTAGGGGCTCGCAATTTAGGGGCTCGCAGTAGGGGCACTGCTGGATCGTGGACAAGCCATTCTTTACGTGCTTTGTCCACAATCGCATCACTGCATCTGTATGTGTTATGGTTCTTAAGTCTAGGTTTAATTCTGTCGAAGGCGTTTGTTTGGCCTTTCATCTGTCCTTCAGTTCATTTGGCACTCTGCAAGGCCAGAAGATTCCGACATGTAGGACCAGGGTCGCATTTTGTATTTCCTTTCCTGAGTTTCCTCTGTATAGAGGTGTGAGAGAGGAGGAGATAGCATTTGGCGTTGGATGAGAAACATGTCTAAAGGGAATGCACTGAAAATAAGAGTTATATTCCTCCTCTGTATAGAAGTTCATCCTTCTACTGTGTCCCGTCATCACCTTTGTATTTTTCAGCCATCAGCCATGTGATGTAGAACTGTTCTGCCAGTAGCCAAGTGATGTAGAGTCGCTCTCGTATAAGAAGACTACTGTTCGTTCCATAAAGTAGTGTTTTCTGTCTGCCAGTATGTGTCAGTCTGATAAGTGGCTGGGAACGCACAGTTTTATGGAGTGGTTACAGTGGTAATATATATTTGGAGATGTACTATCCGTGCGTATTTTGCTTTGATGGCTGGGCTATTTGCCGATATAGATGAGCTGGCAATGAATGCCTATGTGAAGAGAATCGAAGGACGTGTTTAGTAAAGAAGAATGTCATGCCGGAGAGTGCTGCTGCATGCGTCCACTCAAGCAGCATCGTGGGCATTCTCCGTTTGTCCCAAGATGTCCCAAGATGCCTGATCATGGTTCGCAAGAATTGCAACGCATAGATTATTGATTACCCCAGGGGTCGCCTCTGGGAGCTCGTTCAAGCCATGTGTTTGTTCCTGCATGTTAAGCAGCTGGGAAGGAGGCTGGAGGGTGAGTGGGTGTTGTTGTTCACGATTTCGTGTCTTCTCCTACCTCCAGCACCAAGCTCTGCTCAACACTTGTGTGTTGGGGGGGTCCACGCCCAGATGGTCATCATTCGTCAGGTTGATTAAGAAGCCATTAAACAGTGGGCTCAGGTGGTGCTTGGCTCGCCTAGCTCCTGCACCTCATTCTGTGCAAGTGGAGGCAGTAATGCAATTGTTTCTTCAGTCATTGGACTCTGATTCTCTCTCCAAGTCGCCTTCGTCGTGTTTCTCAGCTGCTGCAAATTCTGTTTATGTTGTCCATACTGTTGGCTAATAAACAAATACGAATTCTGAGCTGGTAAAAGGCTGCCTCCATGTAAATCTTGTGCTAAAATTGTGGACGTTTCGAAGCTGAAGTTGAGACCAGCTGACTGTGCAACTGGAGCGTTTGAGTCTGCGCACATTCCTCCCTCCCTCCCTCCCTCCCTCCCTCTCTCTCTCTCTCTCTCTCTCTCTCTCTCTCTCTCTCTCT